CCCCCAGGCAGTACCCCTACCCCTTCATGCGCAACCTCAAGGAGCCCCACGGCTTCCTGGGCACGGCAGCCTCGGGCCTGCTGCTGTTTGCGGGCGCCTTCCGCGTGGGCAAGGCCATCAACCGCCGCGTGCGTGCTGTGTCACTCTCCATTGCGGGAGACAGCGGCACCATCACCATATGCGCAGCCAAGGCCGAGGTCGTGGCCCCGCAGCGCGCCCTGCACGGCCACGCATTCGCCGTGGTGCACCGTGCCCCGCGCCGCTCGGCGTCAAGCTCGGTGCCAGTCAAGGAGGAGTGACGCGCCCATGCACACGCGCACGCTGGCCTTGGTGATTGCGCACGATACCATGCGCCGATCAAGAGTGCGTCCCCTGCGCGCGTTGCCACAGCAGCTGAGCAGGCGCGGGCCAGGCATGTGCCCTTGGCGTGTGATGCACACCTCAACTCGTCTGGTGCCACCCTTCCGAGTTGGTTTTTTGTCCTTTCTGATGCTTGGTGGAGGTTGTAGTGCAATTAGATCGAAATTCGCGGCTCACAGCCCAAAGCCTGCCCTTGCCTCACCTACATCCCACCCTCTGGTGGGCTGCACAGCTGCACAGCGAATGGCGGACCCCGCCTAGCAGCCCGCGGCCGCCTGTCCTTGGACGTGCAAAGTGCCCGTCTGACGCGCTGCTCTGCTGCTGCACTCGCGGCGTGTCCCGGGGGGCCACGCATCGGCGCCCTGTCGCACAGCCTGCCACAGGTGCAGGACGAGCCACCCTTACATTCGCAAGTGCGCGCGACATCGCCCTGCCAACAGGAGCGCGTGCCTGCCTTTTCACCCGAACAATTTCTAAAGAGTTGCGAGGCAAGGGCCTCCCTTGCATGCGCAACCCTGCCCGCGGCACTCACTAAGCACAACGCGCAACGAATCTCAGACCACCCGTCATCGCTGTCGGACGGTGTTTGTTCCAAGTGGCCCGCTGCCGGCGCGGCTGTGCCCCTGGCCAGGCTGTCCTGATTGTGCCGGAGAGTTTCACAGTGGTTCTGTTTTGTGCGGGGGAGTGTGCGATCCGATCCTTGCAACACAACGCCGCACGCTGCATCACGCCGCAACCGCAGCCCCTTGTGTGGCAGCAATGCCTCCGGAAACGGGGGGCAACGCCTGTGCGTTCACTGCCGCTGATTGCCCTCATGCGCGCCCCAATCCGCGTTCCTGCAAGAGGCTCCCTGCAGGTCGGCGCATGGTGCGCGCGGTCAAGGGGGGTCTCTCCAGCCTGGTCGGCGTGATCCGTCGCAGAGGCGATGGTGATGAGACGGTCGGCGTTGCAGAGGCGATGGTGATGAGACGGCCGGCATTGGGTTTCTGCTGGCCAGCAACAGGACACGCACGACGCGGTTGCGCCGTGGATCCAAGCCCTGCACCCCTGCTGCTGCGGTGGCAGGCTCCATGCGCTTACGTGGATCCTGTCAATCGAGCTGAGCATGTCGCACTGAGACGGCACGCCCGTTTTGGGACGCATCGCCTACACACTCATGTTGATGACTGCTCCACCCTGTGGGGTTGCAGAAGATTACCAGCTTGAAACCCGTTGTAACAACACTCAGTGATTGGTAGAGAGACAGCTGCAGCAGAATGTGTGGGTTTGTGAGGTAATTCGATGTGAGTGGCTGCTGAGGTGATGGTATGTACAGGATTGCCCTGATTTCCGGATTCAGAGGATCAGAGCTGAGCAGGTGTCTCCAAGGGCAGCACTGATACCAGGAACCAAGGGCATTGAGACCAGCATTCATGATGTTTGTTTACGTCGCATATTCCACTACAGCTCTGTGGCATCTCCACTACAGCTCTGTGGCATCTGGAGGCATTCACCACGCTGCCGCTACATGCCGTCATCAAGGACATCCAGGCGCACCCCGGTGCGACGGCGGTTTCTATCGACCAGGAGCGTCTGGCATAGAGGTGTGTTATCATGTGGTTTTGATCAAATTTGTGAAAGTCATCTGATGTCACCAGCGCGTATCCGGAATCGGGGCTTTCTTTGAGCTGAGATCATTAGCGAGTGATTGCGACGTGCTAAAGGGACGCGAAGAGCTTGTTGTCACTCACATAGTTTCGATAGCGTCAGCTTGTCTGCGCGCAGGCCCGCGAGCAGCTTTGTATGGCGCCACTGAGGCGCCGTCCTCGATGGGCCCGCGCTCTTGCCCCCGTCGCGCTGCTGCTTGTGGCAGCAACGACCGTGGTGGACGCCCTGGAGCGCTTTCAGCATGCTGCAATTCTCAACGATCAGCCCGCCCGCCCGGATGCGAGGCAGACGCAACGCACAGCAGCACAAGCAGGGCGGCCGCTGCCAAATGCAGAGTCGTCAATGCAGGCGAGCTGCACGAAAGGCATGCGCGATTGCGCCATGCTCGTGCGGTTGCTTTGTGGCAGGTCCAGAGGGTTGGGTAACACAGCTCTTTCATGCGTCATCCCATCAGACTCGGCAGGCTCACGCCGGCTCAACCAACCCCGCCGCCGCTCGGCTGTCTCGCGCAAGTACCAGCCTGCGTCCAAGCACCAAACCCCCATCAACGCATTCCAACACCAAGAAGCTCCCAGGACACCCACCTCCTCCATACATTTCGCAAACCACGCCCCTAGATTGCGGCGCGCCAGCCCCTGTTTGACTACGCGGTCCAGCAGGGCCTGGCCATCCTCAACGCGACAGTCAAGAACGCCACCATTGACGAGATCAGCGCCACAGTGGAGGTCCCCCTGCTGGGGGGCATCGACGTCACAGTGCGGGACGGTGCGGGGCGCGGCAGGTGGTGGGGCCGCGGCCAGTGGGGGCAGCGGGAGGCGGGGGCCAGCAGCCAGCGCTTGTCGCGCGGAGGCACGGGCTGCGTCCTGCTGAGCCAGGGGCCACTGGCAGAAGAGGGTGGTCAATAACACGCAAGCCCCTGCCCACCATCTTGACACACACACATGCGCTCATTGCACAAGCGCGCGCACACACATACGCACACACACACACAATTCTGCTCTACGTCCTCCTCCCCCCTGTTGGCCCCCAGTCAACGTGACCACGCTGCAGGTTGACCCCGCCCTGGCGCGCGTAGCCATCGAGGCGGGCTTCTACCATGCCGCAGCGGCCAACGTCACAGCAAACGTGCGCAGCCACTGGGTCTGGCCCAAGTTGATGCAATCAGCTCTGCTGGGGGTTGTGCGCACATCCCGCTGCCAACAGCCCGCCCTTGTTTTCGTACTCGGCTTTGCGAATGTTGGGCGCCTTGCGGGTTCCACACCCGTTCGTGCCTGATCCGTCCCCCATCCCCCCATCCCCACCGCTCAGATCACTTTTGGCTGGTCCTGGTCCAAAGGGCCCCTGGGTGGCAGCGGGGTGGGGGAGCTGTTCTTGGAGGGAGGGGCGCTGGACATGATCTTCCTGGTGGGGAGTTCAAC